ACGTAAGAGTGGATATTTCATTCAATCTTCGAGTGGATTCTGATAAGCGCATCGATTATAGTGAAAATATTCTTACTCTGCGACTCAAAATGAAAAAATCACTTTATTTGAGTGAAATATTATTTACATTTTAATCTTTCACTCATGTAAAATGAACTTTCAACTCTAAATCGCCGAATAAATAGTTTTCACACTAATCGCTCGAGAAGCAATATTCTTATTCTATTTTTGGAGTGAATTTTTACTTCAAGAAATTTAGAGAGTAATGTGCTTGCAACTTAATCCCAATACAGAGAGCCCGAAATTTTTTATAAAAGTTGATTGTTTGAATTACGTACGATTAAAGGCTGGATACCAAGAGCAACGACTCACGCTAGTTGCACGTGCCGTGACAGGCAGTTGGTTTAAAACCCAAGTGTTTACCTTCGTTTGGCCTTTAATCGTGACTACACATCGCGAATAACACAACATAAGCGAGCTAACGTACTACATCTTTTCAGTTCAATTCAGTACATGACTCCGAGCAGAGCAGTTCTGCTTCAACGCCAGTCATCAACTACATCTCTTCTCTCTCTCTAAATGACATCCTAAACACTCACTCTCCTTCTATATCTCGCATCCTACATGTCTTTGTGTCATTGTGTTTATTTCGTGAGTGTAATTCGTACAGTCGTTTGATGAATATTCATCAAAGTATCGCGTGATATTATCATAATATCATTAGTATAAAATCGAACAGAGATTTATGTAAAATTGACGATACCGTGTAAAAGAGTGAGCAATTGTAAGGCATTGAGAGTTGTAAATCAATAAAGGAAAGTTGTAAACCAGTAAAGGAGAATTGTAAACTAATAAAGGGATATAAGACACAAAATCCACAAGGTAAGGATGTTAAATTATTTATTGTACACAACATTTTAAATTGTAACAAAACTTTTAACGAAATTATATAAAATTCGAAGACTAAATATGAATACTAAACGTAATAAAATATATTAATATGATAATTTTTATTTACAGGATGTGCTCGAAATATCCTCCACTGTGCTCTACACATAAAACAATTTGTCGCAAAATACTTTGGCGTACTCTGGACAAGATTGCTGGAGAAATATTTGCAGCTGCAGTTTGGATACAATTAATTAAATAAATCGTACAATTAATTAAATTGATACAATTAATACAATCGATACAATTAATTAAATCGTCTCTATTAACTGGTACTGTTTGGTACACTTGATCTTTAATATATCCCCACATAAAAAAATCTAGTGGTGTAAGATCTGGTGACCGCAGTGGCCACTCTTGGAGATTGCTATATATTCCAATCCATCTATCTGGAAACTTTCTATTTAATACGTTACGAGCTGCAACCGAAGTGTGGACAGGATGCCCATCTTGTTGAAAAATTATATTTGCCCGTAAGTCTACACATTTTCCAATAATTCCGCCAATGTTTCGTCTAAAAATGCTGCATACTTCAGCATTAACGTGAATGTGCTGCGGAAAAAAATACGGTTCAATGATCTTATTTTCCACAACGCCCATCCACACATTGACAGAATATTGTCCCTGGACGTGTATTTCTTTTACACAATGAGGATTCTCTTCTGCGTAATGATGCTCATTGTGTCTATTTATTCGGCCGTCACTACGAAATGTACACTCATCTGTCCATAAAATATTTTTCAAAGACGCATCATTTTCTACATTTTCACCGTCAATCTGAAAGACAATGATATAAAATAATATATTCATTATATGTTTATTGTTTCTTATGCAAATGATTCAGTGCCTTTTATATTTACTTGCTCTAAAATCCAATCACAAAATGCCTCTCGGCGAAGCAAATCTGCAAGGAATAACCTTTGAGTTGCATGTCTTTTAAAAGGATGCCATTCAAGGTTATTTTTAAGAATTCGATGCACTTTTGTGTGCGTCATATTTAACTCACACGCAACAGCACGCGTGCTTGTGTGCGGATTAGCCGTCACTGCTCTCCTCACCGCATTTATATCATCTTCAGAGCGTCGGGGAACAGACAGTGGCCGCGTAGATGCATGTAAGATGCCATTATTGCATATTCTTTCATATAATTTATGAAAAAAACCATGTTTTAGATGTCATCTCTGCGGGAAGCGTACAATATTGCGGCTTGCCGCTGATTTTTATAATATTCGCCATACCCTAGTAATATATCTGCCAGCTCTTGGTTCTCATACCGCACATGCTCCATCGTTAACCATACTAAACGTAACTACACTTTTCACCCTTGGCAACACTTGTTGATTAATTGTCAAATGTTCATCTCTGCGTTTGTCAAATGTTTCTTCCGCGCTACCAGTATCCTCAAACACGTATTATACGAGGTGAATATTATATACCGGAACACCTGAATATCTTGAAAACAAAGCGTTGTATAAAAAAATGTTAAATACAAAAGTTGTAGAGTTTAAAAAGATCTATTTTATGATATTAGCAGTTTGACCTTGAGTTGCGTCATAAAGATCAGGTCAAGGTCACAATGATGTTTTTAAATGGATACCCCCATTTTTTATTGTATATTCTTGTAGCTTATCTCGAGAGCTTTCCAAAACACT